AGGGTAGGGGGGGAGCGTATGTTGGTGCGTGTGCAGCACTGGCTGTAGCCTCAGCTCAGGCCTTCGGTGTCTCCATCGGCTGTCTCCCTTCTCCTTCTGGCTGTCTGCTGCCGCTGCAGCTGCAGCAGCAGCAGCTGCAGCAGCAACAGCAGCAGCAGCAGCAGCAGCAGCAGCAACCACCGCCGCTGATGTCTGGTGGTGTTCTCCGCCTCTCTGTGCCTCTGCGTCTCAACGCCAACGACGCAGAAGGAGCCCTCAAAATACAGCTGCTTCCTCTGCCCCCTCAGCAGCAGCAGCAGCAGCAGCAGCAGCAGCAGCAGCAGCAGCAGCAGCCGCAAGAGGAGGAAGGGTGTAGAGGGGGGCTGCGTGTGTGTGTAGATGCTTCGCGGGTGCGGCTGCTGGGGTCCTGGGCCTGCGGCTGCTGCCTGGCGCTGACGGAGACAGCTCGTGCGCTGCAGGTGGGTGTCTCCTTGGGTAGAGACACAGCAGCAGCAGCAGCAGCAGCAGCAGCAGCAGCAGCAGCAGCACCACCTGCTCTAGCTGCTAGGGGGCCTAGGAAACTCATTGCTGGCCTCAGGCGGCTGCTGCGCTCGGCGCAGCTCTGCGCTCTCCAGCTGTACGTACACCGCGTCGTGCTGCTGCTAGCCCCAGGAGACTTTCTCAGCAGCAGCAGCAGCAGCAGCAGCAGCAGCAGCTGCCGCAGCTGCTGCTGCTGCGGCAGCAGAGAAAATATCGCACAGAAAGGGGGCTGGGTTGTTGCTGCTGCTGCAGCAGCAGCATTCAGTCTGCAGCTGACGCAGGACGGCTTGCTGCGCTCCGCTCGCTCCTCTGTAGAGGGCCTGCGGGTATTTGTTGCAGCAACACAGCAGCAGCAGCAGCAGCAGCAGCAGCAGCAGCAGCAGAAACAGGGAGATCAACGCAGGGCCTACTACAGACAGAGTGCAGCAGCAAGTACCACTAGCAGCAGCAGCAGCAGCAGCAGCAGCAGCAGCAGCAGGTTGGTGCTGTATCAAGCTGTATGCGGAGCAGCAGGGCCCCCGTCTGCTGCTGAGGTGTCGCTGCTGCTGCCTGAGGGGACCTTGGGCTTCGGCTGCTGCTGGAGGAGACAGAGAACTGTCTCCCCCCGCATGCAACCTGCTGCTGCTGCTGCTGCAGCAGGAAGAATGCAGCCTGCTGCAGCAACAGCAGCAGCAGCAGCTGCTGCTGCTGCTGCTGCTGATGGTGCTGTGCCGAGGGACCTACGGCAATACAGCTCTTGGCACCTGCAGCAGCAGCAACAACAACACCAACAGCAGCAGCAGCAGCTGCTGCTGCAGCAGCAGCAGCAGCAGCAGCAAGGGGAATGGGGGGCCCCAGGCTGGGATAGCCCGCAGCACTCTGAAGCAGAAGAAGAGGGGGGCCCCCAGGAGGCGTGGCAGCTGGAGTTGGTGCAGCGGCAGCAGCAGCAGCCAGCAGCAGCAGCAGCAGCAGCAGCAGCAGCAGGGGCACCTTCAGCAGCAGCAGTAGGAAAGGCGGGTATAGGTAGTGGTCTTTCATCGCAGCAACCGCAGCAGCAGCAGCAGCAGCAGCAACAGCAGCAGCAACAGCAGCAGCAGCAGCAGCAACATATGTATATCCATAATCAATCTCTTCAGTGTGTTATAGTGATTCCTGCTATGCATGTGCTGCTGCTGCCTGCAGCAGCAGCAGCAGAAGTGCAGCATCTGCTGCTGGGTTTGTATCGATCGCTGCAGCAGCTGCAGCAGCAGATAGAGGAGGTGCGGCGTTGTCTTTTTCGTCCCCCCCTCAACTCTCTGTCTTCTGCTGCTTCTGCTTCTCTCTGTTCCTTTGATAGATCCTTTACAGACAGAACCATAGAAACAGAAACTGCAGCAGCAGCAGCAGGGGATTTCGTTTTTCCTGCTTCTGAGGGGCCAAATGAACACAGCAGCGGGGTGCTGGGTTCCTCTCTCGTTGAGTCTGCCTCAGCAGCAGCAGCAGCAGCAGCAGCAGCAGCAGCAGGAGCTGGACCTCAGCAGCACCAGCAGAACAGGGGTCTGTGGTTGCCCCTTCCGGGATCAGCAGCAGCAGCAGCAGCAGCAGCAGCATCAGCTGCTGCTGCTGCTGCTTATGAGGGCCCCTGCCGCACCTCGCTAACAGCACAGGTTAAGGTGCATGTCTTCTCCTGCTGGTTTGTTGAGCCCCTTCCTGCTGCTGTTGATGCTGCTGCTAGGCCCCCTTGCTGCTGCAGCAGCAGCAGCAGCAGCGGCAGCAGCAGCAGCAGCATCAGCGGCAGCAGCAGCGGCAGCAGCAGCATCAGCGGAAGCAGGTATGGAGCACATCGAAACCCTCT